TTCTGTGTAGTCACCTACTTACTATTATGTAACTATACATAGGGCTTTTAGCTAGGTACTGGACGGAGGTTGGTGTATTTTTCTGTGTAGTCACCTACTTACTATCATGGTACTATACTTAGTGCAGTCGCCAGGTACTGGACGGTGGTTGGTGTATTTTTCTGTGTAGTCACCTACTTACTATCATGGTACTATACTTAGAGCAGTCGCCAGGTACTGGACGGAGGTTGGTGTATTTTTCTTTGTCGACACCTACTTACTATCATGGTTCTATACATAGGGCAGTCACCAGGTACTGGACGGAGGTTGGTGTATTTTTCTGTGTAGACACCTACTTACTATCATGGTACTATACATAGGGTTGTCGCCAGGTACTGGACGGTTGTTGGTGACTTTTTCTGTGTAGACACTTACCTACTTTCTTGTTTCTATATATTTAAACATCCACATACCTCTAGTGTGCTCAGTCTAAACATCTGAGACTCAGTAAAGCCCGGCCAGCAGCTAAGTTTTTCCTTGGTGTTGTTCCACACCCTGTCTCGCTCTGACTCCGGTACTTCGTCCCATTTGTTCAACACAAACAGTGTACAACTGTTGTCAAATGTCTGCTTACGTCCATCTTCTCTCCATTTTTTCTGTTTTTCAATGATTCTAAGTAGCTGTAAATCAAAAGAAGCATTCTTGCAAAGAAATAAAACAATCTGACATTTCTCTCTTTTCTTAAAATGTTATATAAGTATGTTTCCCGGTATTTCGATTGTTAAAGTGATTTTCAGCGTGAACAAAAAGTCATCAAAAGTTCCCTTTCTCCACGTCTTCCTCGACGTAAGAATGACTCTTACTTAATTATCTACCTCAAACGCAGACCTACTCTCATCTACCTCAACCTCAGACTTACTCTAATCTACCTTAACCTCAGACTTACTCTAATCTACCTTAACTTCGAATATTGTCGTTATCGACGTGGATGAGCGATAACAGGCCAAATGATTGCACAGAGTTTAGGCTTTTGGAAAGGTAGAATTAATATCTGGGTAGATTAGACAAGGTTTGAATACGGAGTAGATAAACAAAATGTCGGTTAAAATCAGAAACGGACGAGAGGTAGAAACAGGCCGGGGTAAATAATCGTTAAGGAAATGACAGGGTAAGATTAATATCAAAATAATTGAGAGTAAGATCGTTGTAGATAAAGAACGGTGCTGGTTCAGAACCTCTATTTCTGAGCGTAAGTCTGAGGTTAAGGTAGATAAGAGTAAGTCTGAGGTTGATGTAGATGAGAGTTAGTCTGAGGTTAATGTAGATGAGGGTAAGTCTGAGGTAAATGTAGATGAGAGTAAATCTGAAGATTAGGTAGATGAGAGTAGGTCTGAGGTTAAGGTAGATGAGAGTAGGTCTGAGGTTAAAGTAGATGAGAGTAAGTCTGAGGTTACGGTAGATGATAGTAAGTCTGAGGTTAAGGTAGATGAGAGTTAGTCTGAGGTTAAGGTAGATGACATTAAGTCTGAGGTTAAGGTAGATGAGAGTAGGTCTGAGGTTAAGGTAGATGAGAGTAAGTCTGAGGTTACGGTAGATTAGAGTAAGTCTGACATTATTAGAAGCCTTAACGTAATCTTAGCGTTATTTCTCTCATCTTTTTAACCACAGACTTACTCTCATCTACCTTTACCTAAGACTTACTCTCATTAAACCTTAACCTCAGACTTACTCTCATCTACCTTAAACTCAGACTTACTGTCATCTACCTTAACCACAGACTAACTCTCATCTACCTTTACCCAGACTTACTCTCATTTACCTTAACCTCAGATTAACTCTCATCTACCTTAACCTCAGACTTACTCTCATCTACCTTAACCTCAGCCTAACTCTCATCTATTTTAACCTGAGACTCACTCATATCTACCTGAATCTCAGATTTATTCTTATCTACTTTAACCTCAGAGTTAACATCATCTACCTTAACCTCAGACTGACTCTCATATACCTTAACCTCAGACTTACTCTCATCTTCCTTTACCCAGACTTAATTTCATATACCCTTAAGCTCAAATTATCTCTCGTCTACCTTAACCTCAGACTTACTCTCATCTACCTTTACCTCAGACTTACTTTCATCTACCTTTACCTCAGACTAATTCTCATCTACCTTAACCTCAGACTAACTCTCATCTACCTTAACTTGAAACTCACTCATATCTTACTTAATCTCAGATTTATTCTTATCTACTTTAACCTCAGAATTAACATCATCTACCTTAACCTCAGACTTACTCTCATCTACCTTTACCTCAGACTTACTTTCATCTACCTTAACTCAGACTAACTCTCATCTACATTAACCTCAGACTAACTCTAATCTACCTTAAACTCAGACTTACTGTCATCTACCTTAACCACAGACTAACTCTCATCTACCTTTACCCAGACTTACTCTCATTTACCTTAACCTCAGACTAACTCTCATCTACCTTAACCTCAGACTTACTCTCATCTACCTTAACCTCAGCCTAACTCTCATCTATTTTAACCTGAGACTCACTCATATCTACCTGAATCTCAGATTTATTCTTATCTACTTTAACCTCAGAGTTAACATCATCTACCTTAACCTCAGGCAGACTCTCATATCCCTTAACATCAGATTTACTCTCATCTACATTTACCCAGACTTAATTTCATATACCCTTAAGCTAAAATTAACTCTCGTTAACCTTAACCTCAGACTTACTCTCATCTACCTTAACCTCAGCCTAACTCTCATCTATTTTAACCTGAGACTCACTCATATCTACCTGAATCTCAGATTTATTCTTATCTACTTTAACCTCAGAATAAACATCATCTACCTTAACCTCAGGCAGACTCTCATATACCTTAACATCAGATTTACTCTCATCTACCTTTACCCAGACTTAATTTCATATACCCTTAAGCTACAATTAACTCTCGTTAACCTTAACCTCAGACTTACTCTCATCTACCTTTACCTCAAACTTACTTTCATCTACCTTAACTCAGACTAACTCTCATCTACATTAACCTCAGACTAACTCTAATCTACCTTAACCTCAGACTTACTTTCATCTACTTTAACCTCAGACTTTCTATCATCTACCTTATCCTCAGACTTACTCTCATCTACCTTTACCTCAGACTTACTTTCATCTACCTTTACCTCAGACTAATTCTCATCTACCTGAACCTCAGACTAACTCTCATCTACCTTAACTTGAAACTCACTCATATCTTACTTAATCTCAGATTTATTCTTATCTACTTTAACCTCAGAATAAACATCATCTACCATAACCTCAGACTATCTCTCATCTATTTTGACCTGAGACTCACTCATATCTAACTTAATCTCAGATTTAATCTTTTCTACTTTAACCTCAGAGTTAACATCATCTACCTTAACCTCAGACTGACTCTCATATACCTTAACCTCAGACTTACTCTCATCTACCTTTACCCAGACTTAATTTCATATACCCTTAAGCTCAAATTAACTCTCGTCTACCTTAACCTCAAACTTACTTTCATCTACCTCAGACTAACTCTCATTTACATAAACCTCATACTGACTCTAATCTACCTTAACCTCAGACTTACTCTCATCTACCTTTACCTAAGACTAACTCTCATCTAACTTTACCCAGACAGACTCTCATCTACCATAACCTCAGACTAACTCTCATCTACCTTTACCCAGACTTAATTTCATATACCCTTAAGCTCAAATTAACTCTCGTCTACCTTAACTTTAGACTTACTCTCATTTATTTTAACCTCAGACTGACTCTCATCTACCTTAACCTGAAACTTACTCATATCTAACTTAATCTCAGATTTATTATTATCTACTATGACTTCAGAGTTAACATCATCTACCTTTACCTCAGATTTACGCATATCTACCTTACTCCTCGACTCAATTGACAACGATCTCAATTTGTTCTCACCAATATCAACCTCGTTCTCTCATTCATCTTAGTTTAGTCTTACTCACATCTACATTAACGTCTGATTTACTTTCATCTACTTTAACCTCAGACTTACTCTCATCTTCCTTAACATCATATTTACTCTCATCTCCCTTAACATCCTATTTACTCTCATTTACTTTTATCCCCGACTCATTCTCATCGACCTTAACAGACTAACTATTTTAACCTCAGATTTACTCTCATTTTCCCCTATTTAAGATTTACATTACTTTACCTAAACATCAGATTGACTCCAATCTCCCTTAACCTCAGATTTCCTCCCATCTCTTAATCTCACACTAACTCTCATCTACCTTAACTTCAAACTTACTCTCATCTACCTTAACCTCAGACTTACTCTCATCTAACTCAACCTCAGATTTACTCAATATTAACATCAGACTCACTCTCATCTTCCCTAACATAATACTTGTTTTTAGCCACTCATACAGACTAACTCTATCCTGCTGTACCCCGCCAGCTAACTCTCATCTTCCCTAACATAATACTTGTTTTTAGCCACTCATACAGACTAACTCTATCCTGCTGTACCCCGCCAGCTAACTCTCATCTTCCCTAACATAATACTTGTTTTTAGCCACTCATACAGACTAACTCTATCCTGCTGTACCCCGCCAGCTAACTCTCATCTTCCCTAACATAATACTTGTTTTTAGCCACTCATACAGACTAACTCTATCCTGCTGTACCCCGCCAGCTAACTCTCATCTTCCCTAACATAATACTTGTTTTTAGCCTCTCATACAGACTTACTCTATCCTGCTGTTCCCCGCCAGCTAATTCTCATCTTCCCTAACACAATACTTGCTTTTAGCCACTCATACAGACTTACTCTATCCTGTTGTACCCCGCCAGCGTTTTCTGAGTTGATGACGTAGATGAAGGCCACGGCCTTTGGGAGGTAGTCCAGCAGGCGACTGGTCATCTCGCTGTTTTCTCCCACACCGGGTGTGTCCACTATGATGACTTGACTCTGTCGGTAAAGAGAGTTTTATAAGGGGACGAATGAGTGGTCCACTTACTGTGTCACCTAAAGGGGACACATGAGTGGTCCACTTACCGTGCCATCTAAAGGGGACACATGAGTGGTCCACTTACCGTGTCATCTAAAGGGGACACATGAGTGGTCCACTTACCGTGTCACCTAAAGGGGACACATGAGTGGTCCACTTACCGTGTCACCTAAAGGGGACACATAAAGCGGACAAATGAGTGGTCCAATTACCGTGTCACCTAAAGGGGACACATGAGTGGTCCACTTACCGTGCCACCTAAAGGGGACACATGTGTGGTCCACTTACCGTGTCACCTAAAGGGGACACATGGGTGGTCCACTTACCGTGTCACCTAAAGGGGACACATGAGGGGTCCACTTACCGTGTCACCTAAAGGGGACAAATGAGTGGTCCACTTACTGTGTCACATAAAGGGGGCAAATGAGTGGTCCAGTTACTGTGTCACCTAAAGGGGACACATGAGTGGTCCACTTACTGTTTCATCTAAAGGGGACACATGAGTGGTCCACTTACCGTGTCATCTAAAGGGGACACATGAGTGGTCCACTTACCGTGTCACATAAAGCGGACAAATGAGTGGACCACTTACCGTGTCACCTAAAGGGGACACATGAGTGGTCCACTTACCGTGTCACCTAAAGGGGACAAATAAGTGATCCACTTTCCGTGTCACCTAAAGGGGACACATGAGTGGTCCACTTACCGTGTCATCTAAAGGGGACACATTAGTGGTCCACTTACTGTGTCACATAAAGGGGACAAATGAGTGGTCCACTTACTGTGTCATCTAAAGGGGACACATGAGTGGTCCACTTACTGTGTCACCTAAAGGGGACACATGAGTGGTCCACTTACCGTGTCATCTAAATTGTTACGAAGTCATTATGTTGTTATTGGAGATTACGAAATCACGGAAATAACGGGTACAAAAGCGAAACAATACATGTATTGAAAACATCATATAC